TATTCAAGCATAAATTTGACTCTCATGATTGTGTCCATACATAAGCGCTAATTATCAGATACTCTTATCTTGTTGCGATCTGTTCTACTGAATTATTCAGTCATTTGGCGATTTATGTAATTTCTACCGCTTTTTTTGTAGGGATGATTTAAAACATCTATATTCACCTCATATTTATTCGATGCGTCGGTCACGATTCGGATAATCTGAGTAAGAAAAATTACAAAACCTCATTTTCATATTTAATGTTCTAAAAGTTTCATTTATAAACTATATAATATCCTGACTTGTAAACCTTTCGTTATAATATCATGTACATTCATGTTCCAAAAATGTTTTGCAAATACCAATTCATGATTTCACCTTCAAAGTATAATCCTTCTTATTTTTACCCGTTGTTACACATCCATCAAAGGCTTGTTAAGGCATTAGTTTAGTAATTTCAATCACTCGTTCTGCTGTTGGAAAAAAATTATAAACGAAAGCTCCCTCATAGATTATGATGTCAATGAGCGAAGTTTTATGGTTGCTTTCGAATGACGTGCAATCAGAGTGAAAGTAACTCATGAAGAAAATAACACAGTGAAGTCGATTGAAATTTCGATAGTACTATATTTTAGTTGTAATAGTTTCAGTGTATTCAACTTAATTAACGAGACTTTGTCTTGAATCTATGATCTTCCAAATATTTTATGAAGAACAGTATTTGAAATATCAATCGTGGACCGTAACCCATGTCAAATGTATCTACAGTCACGTTTCAGTATATAGAGATCATTTAAACGACTATTTCGGAGACTTGGTTGGTCGCTTTAACTTCTTAGCTTATAAAAGATAACTGGTTTGTGTTTTGTTTGAAAAGATTCTTGTCACATGTAGATTCTGGATACTTTGTGCTGCTGCGTTTGCGTTAAATCAAGGATAAATATGAAGATGAAAATTCCAAATATTTGATTTTCAATTCCTTCCTATTGAGCCGACAGTGCTATCGCTGAAGTTATAAATTATAGCTCAATAGTTAAAGCAGTCGCTCTTCAACCAGTAGGTTATAAATATGAATCTTGCTATAACTACTTCCGCCGAAGGTGGAGAGTCAGCTCTCCCTCACAAAATACTCACATATCCACGAGTATACAACCACTGCTGGGAAAGTCCTACTCACTGCCTTCTCGTAGTGGGGGCGTTGTTTACGAAATCGAGAGGCCGAAAAGTGAATGTCCGACGCTTTAACTGGGTTGGTGGATACGGAAGATCCACCTAGGGGAATCGGAAAACCCTGACTCAAAACCAATAGTACACATGAACTCTGGGATCCCTAGGGAACAAATGTCGTACGAACCAGTTATTGGTCACCGGCTACCATGTGAATGCATCTCTTGACATTGTTCAACTGAGTTGTCGATCAGACCTTTAGGTCGAAGCCTTTGGGTGTGGCCCTCCAAAAAAACCACGTGCTTCGGTCTGGGCACCCGTGCAGTATCACAGCCCACACGCAACTTAAGTGATTTGTGTGGCGCATATGTATTCGGTGTCCCTTTGTACTAATATTTATGTGTTAAAATAAATAAATAAATACTTCGCTATGGATGCTAGGTAGCAAAACTAGTTCTCACAAAAGCAGTCTGACACAAAGGTGAGCGCATAACTTTGCACTTGGCAAGTGAATTATTACATTATTATATTATTAAGGTGAATGACTAAGCCTGGATCATTTGGTCTCATTTCACAGCGTAATCTAGGTACACCTATCAGAGATATGATAAGCACAAAAACTTTGTAGCAAACAAAAGCTGCTGCACTTCACAAATTGTAGTTTTTTTAATTGGTTGTAAAGTTTCGCCGAATTACCTAAGTGAATTTATTGTATTCCGTGATCTACCGAGCATTAACCACTGTTTTCTGAAAAGCTTGTGCTAGTCAACTCGTGAAAAATAACTTCGTATTTTTTATGTCTAACTAGTGAAAATAATTGTGTTTGTTATCTTTAAAAAATATTTCTACATATTAAATGTATATTTGTTTGTAGAACATTATGTAAATTCTATATTTTTATTCGTAAAATTTGATTGTAATATAAACGCAATTCAATAACAAACGACATCGGTAAATGAATTTTCATTGACGGGATACGCTTATGGGTGTGTTCGCCATATCCATTTTTCTTCGTTTACTAATTGTTGGTGATGCTCTAGAATCTTGGCTGGGATTGAATAACTGACAACAATTTTAAAAAAAAAACACATTTAACTTGTTAGGAATATAAAATAATTTGGACTATACATTCAAAATAAAATTGTGCATAATCCCGAAATAAATATTGACACTGGATAACCCTGTTTGGTAAATACACACAATATTCTATAGAATTTCTCTCACAATGATACGCGTTACCTAATTAATCTTAAGTACTGATATAAAGGAAGTGTTCAAAAGTTACTTAAAAATAGTTTGAATCTAGGCTCAAATAAACATATGAATTAACAAGAAAAGTGTAAAAAATAAAGCTCTTTGTTATCAGTGAGGGATTCTTCGCACTATCACTTCTAAGTTTGCCACCTAATATTCCTCAGTTTGACCAAAATTGAAAATTACCTTGGTTTCTGGAAAAGGTATATATTACACAATAGTACCAGCTCTTACTGTCTTTAAATGTTTCTAAGTATATGCGTTTGCGAAGCATAATACTTATATTATGTTATGCTATCATTCTTGGCACATTTCAAAATGTTAGAATTAGCATGGCTACTTAAAAAAAGCTTTGTATATCCAAAATCATTACAAATAGTACGGAAAAGCAATATTGCTTCTTCCAATCCTTCAGCAAGAAATTGGTCTTACCTTTGTATAACTGTCTGATCCAATCATAAATTTAGTTTGTTCGAAAATCCTAATTACTAAATGATATTCGTAGTCTAGTAGATGTAGACTTTTAAAAGGTAATAACGTGAAACAGCTGTTCACTAAGTATTCACGGCTGTGGAATTTGAGACTGCTCCTGGCGAAAAAACTCAACGTAAGAACGCTCAGTGAATTTGTTAAGTATGAAAGATCTGTTTAGGTAACTTGAGCACTTTTAATTTACGAAATAAGGAGATTTGCTGTCATAGATGACTTAATACAACTTACTTCATAAGTAGCTATGTTGACAGAATTTTAGACGTACCTCATCGTATTCCTTTTCTGATATAGATTTTGATGCACCGTGAGCGCGTTTCTAAAAAGAAATAACCGAATACATGAGTAATGGTTTTTAACATCAATGGACACTCCGATAGTTACAAAAAGTATGTGAAAGGTTGTTAGAAAAGCTAAGGCGAAAATTTGCTCTTGTTTTTTGAAATAACCTTAATCATTGCACTATGAAAGTTCATCTTCTAGTGAAACCAGATACTAAACATATTTTTCGTTCGTAACGTCCTGTACCATATGCTGCTCTTGAATTAGTTGATCAGGACTTTAGTCGTTTCCAACAAGCTGGTGTAATCCAAGCAGTCAACTACTGTGCATGGGCCCCACCTATCGTAGGGAATAACGCTGACGAAACTATATGCATACGTACCAACTTATCAACCGGTTTAAAAGCTGTGCTGGATGTATTTTAGTATCCGTTTTCAGTTTCTGAAGACTTGTTCGTTAAGTGGTAGAATGTTTTGCAAAAATAGACTTTTCTTATGTTTGTCTGCAAGTGGGATTAGATGATCATTTTAGAGAGCTTCTAACCATCAACACTTATCAAAAGTTATTTCAATATACCCTCGTACCACTTAGCGTCCATACCGCACCTGCCATCCTTTAGTAAATGATCGATGCGATGTTAACAGGTATACTTGGAACAGCAGCTTATCTAGATGTTATCATTGTTATGGGTTCAACTGACAGCGAAATTTCTGATCGACTGAATCAAATTCTTAGCCGCGTGATGGAGTATTTTTTCCAACTACCTGAAGAAAAGTGTATCTTGTTCATGCATTCGATGAAATCTCTTTATTTTGTCTTTAATAAGAACGGTAGCAGACCTGATCCAGCCAACATAGAAGCCATTCAGAAGATCCCTGCACCGACTGATGTCTTTTCATTAAGATCCCTCCTGGCACTAGTTAATTATTACTCATTTCTCCCTGAAATACATCGAGTGTGAGGTCTCTTGAATAAATTACTTTGAAAACACAAACTTTGGCAATGGTCAGCAGAATTCCTAACATCTTTTGACAAGTTCATATCAATGTTCAGCCCGAAGCTTCCCTCAGCACACTTCAATTCCCGCATGAGAATTGTTGCTGCATCTGACCCCTCTAGTCGTGGAGTTGGGACACTGATATCTTACCTGTTTCTAGATAAATCAGAGAAGACTTTTGCTTATGCTACTAGATTACTCAAATCAGCCGAGCGAAACTACTGCCAGGTTGAAAAGAAAGCCTTTCCAACAATTTTTACTGTTAAACGATTTCATAAAACGCTCTACGGTTGTATGTTTACTTTACTGACAGACCACAAACCATAAATTTAAATATTTAGTTTAAAGAAAGAAATACTTTTTATATGGCTAAAAGATCAAAGCACTGAGTGACAATACATCTGAGCTATGACTTCAATATCAAGTATCGGTCAAGCCGACGCTTCGCCTCGATTGATTGGAGTTCAACACGCTGAATCAGAGGACATGATCACTGCCTCCATAGAAGTAGATCCAGAAGTATGGAATGTATTAGTAAATGCCATTCGAAACACTCCAGTGTCGCCAGATGAAGTCAAAGAAGAAAATCTTGGAGACCGAGTTATGCAAGAAGTTAGTAAGTTTCATCTAGAAGGATAGATTTTCAAGATAATCTCTAGAAAACTTCGGTGCAGATAATCTCAATCATTGATGACTGCCTTCTATTTGCCGAACGTGTCATCCCAAAGAAGCTGAAGCCAGCAGTGCCTGAACATTTGCACACAGGACATCCCGAAATAAATTGGAGGAAGGCGCAAGCATGTAGTTATGTGTAATGGCCACTTTTAGACACCCAACTGGAGCAGCTATCCCATTCGTATATTAAATACTCAGCGAAAAAAGCACGGCAGTAAACTGGGCTGCAATCATGGCCAATACCGCAGTCATTGTGACGGTGTATACAACTGGACTTCGCTGGTTTATGAAACATCCAACTGCAAGCTGCACAGTCAGATAACTACGTCAACTATTCAGTCGTTTTGGGGTTCCAAAAGTAATAGCTAGCGACCATGGAACACAGTTTACGTCTACTATCTCGGAATTTTGTCGGCAAAACTAAATCAGTTATGTCTGAACACCTTATCCCATCCCCAACCCAATGGCTATGTCGAACGCTTTGTTGGCACATTTAAGAATGCTCTACAAAAACCAAATGTAAGGACCACTGAAAAGATTTCAGAGAGGTCCCTGCTCATCTATCGTTTTACGCGAAACCCTCAGAAAATTAACGGGGTCTCCAGCAAAAGCTTTAGTATGCAGAAAAATACGGACGCATTTCGATGCCCGCTCTTGGATCTCAACAAAACAGATCGATATCATGATGCACAGATAACTGTATGGTCAAAAAGTACCTGCTGCGGACTATCGTAGAACACATCTTACATAGATAGCTGGTCAAACCGTGTTAAAGAAAAGAGATTTGGTTTAGTAAGTGTCAGTTGGCTAAGAATTTTGGGTGCTTCAAGCTTACCAGCTAAGAGCAACTTCGATCTCCAGCAACGAGACTCGCCATAAAATACCTCTTGGTGTTCTGCTGGACAACTTTGAAATCAAAACCCCAGAAACGGACAGGCCAGTCTCTGGTGCCCCTTCTTTATTGCCTAGGAAGTGGATAAAGCGAAAGCACAGATGGGCCCAAAAGAGAGGTGTTAGCGGAATATTGATTGGATTAAAGCATATTCTGTGCAAGATTGTATTTGGAGCACACTGATTGGCAATTTCTTAACTAATTAGCGCTAGCGGATACTTGGAGAAGACTACAATCTTATTGTGTATAATTATCAATACACTAATGTTCGTCTTATTGTGATTCCTATTTTCATTCAACCCTGTTTGTTTGAAATATAATTATGTTCCTGATCGACTATGTTCTTATTTGTAGACTTGTCTAGTAAAGTATCCAGGAATACCAAGCAATATGAGCAGTTGAGTGGTAATAGGATAGAACGTAAAAATCTCCGATGGATGTTAGTAATAAAACTTAGAATCATAGAGAATCATATCCTGGCGTATGATATGCGTTGTGTTTAGATTTATTTACCGACTCCTGAACAGGACGAAAAATGTACCTTCATTCTACTGTTAGTCATAGTGTCAGTGTACAGCTTAATCAGAGAATGAATGTTAGTTATATGGGGTTAGGTATTAAGACGTTCCTTGCCTTTTAGCGTTTCTTTTCAAATTAAGCTGAGCGTGAAAAAACGTGCACAAAATTTGTAGCGTTCATAATTTCGCTGCATCGGAAAGAGATCTTAAGTGATTGGCGATGACGGGTAACTGGATAAGAATGATAGGATTAGTCATAATCATGACACATCGACCGAATATTCTTGCAACCTAGTTGGGGTTACTAGTTTAAACCACACGGTTTTAATCCTCACATCACTGACTGAAACAATAAGTTGTTTAACACATACTGCCGTCGACAACAAAATATTCTCGAACAGAAAAAGCGTGGATGGCTGTCACCATTAAGTATTATTTGGATTCAGTAGACGTTAAAATTTCCTTACCGACAGAGGTTAAATTTGGTTTAACACGATAAACTGACAACTACATTAAGGAAACATTTGCTCAGTAGATCTAGAAGGTTTGGTTGTAGTTCATGCTTATAATCAGATTTATCTTCTTCTAGTGTTTAACTCTTCAGTGTTCCTTAAGCTAGTCAGTTTATTCTGATTCTCTGTGGAATAAAATTTACAGTAATAACTATATCTTTAAACACAATAAATGCTTATGTTTTCAGAATTATAATAGTAGTATTTAAATGATACGATGTACTCTTAAACATTCTGAAAACTGTTAATTATTCTATGCTAAAGTCTTAATTTGAAAGTGCACGTAGTCTAATAAAGTACTTTGCAACAATGTAAAATAATTGCTATTTAAGATTTTATTGCTTATGAATAAAGTAACGAAACCTTAAATTACTTGTAAAATTTCGCATTTAAATTCTTGATTACTAAAATCCAGAGATGTCAGTAGTTTCCTTTACAGCTTATGTATATATTTTACCTGTCGAATACTTTCTGGCAAATGCAGTTTCGTGATATTTTGGTGAACCTAAGTAACATAAATATTTTTCTCTTACAACTGAACTCATTCAGTTCATCACAGATTTTTTCAGTAAATTCATTTCTATAAGATCCTACTAGTTACTGGTTTTGTATTCATATGCATTTCAGAAATTAGAACTATTTTCAGTTGGTGGTTAAAAAGTAAAAAGGTATACTCATAGCACACTCACCCCAGGTGTCCGTCGAATTGTAGTAGATTTTTGAGACGTTAACATTTGAGGGGAAACCTAAATTTATGAAAATATTCCTTGTTTATTATTCAAAGTTTAGTTTATGTGATTTTAACGAAAACCAAATGATTGAATGGAAGTAATCGATAATGATCCAGATTTGTTTGATTTAAAGATGTGTTCCATTACAGATTGACATAGGTTAGACAACCACTGAAAATTAGTGAACGCTGGTCAGCCGTTTCATTCCAATCTGGAATTGAGAAATCCTAAATTTGGATAAAAGTTGGCTAGAACACCTTGATTAATTGTTGTTATGAAAATTTTGTATTAAGTATTAGAACACACAAACAATATATATTGTTGTGTTATTTCATTTCAAAACACTATGGATTGTCTATCTTGGTTACAAAATTGACTCCCAAAATGCTCATTTAACCAAGTATTACTTACCACTGATGTTTTCTCGTGCAAACTAATGCAAGAGAAAAAGCGTGGACACACAATATTTTCTAGATATTCTTTTTCAACAAGCTTTTCACCTCTGAAATGAAACAAATAAGCATTAATCAACTACAGTGCTTATTACTGTTTAACTCAAGAACTATTATGATATATCCGTATTTGAAGTTTCTGTGTGGTTTACTTGGTGATCCAATTTTCTGACTACTTAATTTCACCAGGTATTTATTAATTTGAACTGATAGCTGCTGATATATAATGATGATATTCTAGAATGAAGAACAGGTCTCATGAATGTGGTAATAAATAAAAATATAATTCCAATATTTCGTATTACAGTATACCACAGACTCTTTTCTTTTCAGAAATGATACATTTTAACTATCTAAAAATTCCCATCATATATGAACGGAAAATATTCGTCTCAATAAATTCTCTTCAAATTCTTCAATTACATTGAGAATAATAGTCCAAAAACTGGGCAGATCTAAGGCAAAATACATTGTCTAAAAGTATGGCATGTGAAATAAAATTGTTAATGCTGAGGTGACTGATATGCAATGTTAACTTGAATAAGCTTACACGTTAAATGAAATTGTGAGATTAATGATCAGAATAAATATGGGTCAGATAGGATGAGAGAATAATTTAATAACAAATCCGATCAAATGTTTAGTGTATAAATCATACATTTACTTATCCGATTTTATAGATACTCCTTATATGTTGCATATCTGATGAGCAATGTAGAGGATACTTTCAAGTGTCATCAAAACTTCGAAAAAATCTCAACCTTTGGTTTTTATGTGAGCTTATCATTAAGAAAACGTCTTACCTTCGCGGTCCTGCTCCTTTAATAACTTGCTCCTTGATTAAACGATTAAATAATCCACGAGCCACGGTATACTCTACCCCAAGACTTCTAGCTATAAAAGCGGGTGAGACTGAATCTTCGTTGAGACACAGTGCTAATACACGTCGAAAGAGACAAGTGGCCTAAAAATGAAAATTACTTATGATTTTTGCACAAACTTGACATATTTATGGAAATAAATCTGCACTTACCATTATTTTATCAATTTACTTAAGTTATTTGTGATTTTAGCACTTAAGAACCTGTGAAAAACTTCATTTCTAATTATATACCACTTTCTAAGTCAAAAACAAGAAGTTAAAAAATCTACACAGAATTAAGCTCAGACGTCTTGTTGTGAGAGATGAAAAATTGTACCGCTGGTTACTAATGCACTTCCTAAAACGTCAAATAGAAGTCCACATTTGAACTTGTTATGAATACAGTTTGTAATTCTGAAGTATTGTTTAGGTTTGCCAAAAAGAGGACAGCTTATTTTACTCCATTGAATTCCTTTTATATTCATAATCGCATACTCATTAGAAGAAAAATTAATAAGTATCCTTTTTTCATCTACGGTACAGTTGTAGAAGTTAGAATAACTTAATTTTTCCAAATTACCTTTTCTACTTATATCAACGCATTACTAACTGACTGTTATCTTTAATTCTCATCAACACAATTAATTACTCAGCAATGTGTATTTACTTCAGAATGGAGAATACTAAATGTTCACTATTTTATAGCGTATACCTTACATCGGACTTAAAATACAAAACAAAACATTTAAACTATGTATTATGGTGTTAGATCTATTCACTTTTTCAAACTTTGTAGATAAATATAAGATTGCACTTTAATAAAGTTAGCAAATTTCATCTACTCAAGATACTAATATTAAATCCCATTCATAGTTAAAATGAATTTTGGATTAAAAGCAAAGAATGTGTGGTGTTTTTCTACTGTCTCCTAAACGTTATTGTTGAATCCATATTACAACCAATGAGAGTTAATTTTAAAGTTCAGTGAAAAATTAGATAAAGGTAAATACAAATGTTCACAAATCAATCTCACAAGATTTAGTCTAGTTGATAATAAATTATGTGGTTCTTATACCAATAAAGTTTCACATCCACTAGATTTTATTTGTCAGATTAATAGTTCGCTTAAATGCCTTTTATGGTGGAACTCAATGGCTATAAACAAACGATAAGATGAATGAAGTTTGCATCCAAAATTTACTAATTGGGATTCCATTTGATTACAGAAAAATATAGTTATCTGGCTAAAACTGTCAGATCTTCAGTTGACTGACTTTAACAGTCCCAATATTACTTTTCAGAGGAAATTAGGATACCTAGGGACACTTATTGATTAGTTTGAATATATATTTATCTCAATCCACTCAAGACGACATTCATAAATATGTTAATGGTTTCTCGATAAAATATAAGACAATAATTAATCCTTTGATATAATACACGTTTAAATCTGTTTTCACGTAGTTCTGTTTCACATTCTCTAACACTCATCTATGTGTTTCCCGAAGATAAATAAAATCTATATTGATCAAACTGATATGTTTATAAAATGCAGATGTAAATACACAAGGAGTAAGTATTATTAGAAATACTACAATTGAGTAATAACAAGACCTCTGTGTTTAGACAGACAATAGAGAATACTATAACTGATATATTAAAACTCATTTCAAATGGATATACTACATTGACTATTACTCTATTAATCGGAAAATAAAGAAATAAACCTTTATAGTCTTAGTTATGTCTGTTGTGATTTTATTCACTCGCAAATCTAACTGCCTATCCATCGTGTCACTGAGAAGCTTCAAAATAAGAGGTCTATGTTAGTTAATGTTCTCTCTGAAATTTATCACCAATGTTTTTCAAGAAAGCTTGATTATTATTTTGAAAATTTATGAAAAATCATTATTTCTCTACAAAACATCTAATTTCAGTAAAACATTTCGGATATTGATGTCAATCATTTTAAAATGTTACAAATGTGCGATGAATCATTTGAAACGTTCCAGAAAGACTAAATGAACACTCTTTTCAAGCCATTATTAAAGATGAATAAATACTTCTTATGAGCAAAACAAGATTTGTTACTTAATATAGAGAGTCGGCTATATTGTAAGAATACGACTGCCGATAACGAAAGAGAATTTTTATTTGTCCTTATTTGATGATGGATTTTAATGTGATAAAATCCAATGATAAATTACACTCTTGTAATTGAATATTGATGTTGTTAACGAATTGCTAAACTGGTTCATCTGGATAACAGATTAATATTAAATAAATGAACTTTTACATCTTGGTTCATTTTCTAATTATTATTGTTAGCTTTTGGAAGTAATAGGTTTACTGTTTATAGATCTACTGTTAAAATAAATGATCATTCTAGCCAAAGCTCTTTACTAGGTCACTTTGAAAATAACCAACTAAAAATAGACTCATCAGTTTAACAAACTACCTTTCTAGCTTCAACACCCAAATTCTGAATAGTTTCATCTGTGATTCCTCCGGTTTGAAGAAGTTCAGGCTAAATGATTCAACAAAAATAATTTCAAAGTTAAAATAACTTAAACTATACTATTTTTGTCATATATATATATATATATATATATATATATATATATATATATATATATATATATATATATATATATATATATATATGGAAAATAGATTCTAGTTACACACGTTTAAAATCATAGAAATCATTCGTATGAGGGATTTACAGGTGGTCGATTAGTAATTTTTGAATTCCTAAAGTATATACCTTTGACGATCGTCAGTCAAATAGTAGTATTTTTCAGTATGAGCAGGGAGACTGTACTAACTGTACTGAAGTAAAATCTCGATTTTTTATCTTAATTATAGTTATATCTTTATTAGAGAATATTTGAATTCAACAACAGGATAATTCAAACCCATTCTAACAATGATATAAATATAATGCACGTTGAACAACTGAATGCCAACTAGATTCAGTAGCTCAGTGTGTAACGCGTTTGCCTTTTGAGTCTCTATGTGAATATCAACGAGTCCTGGATAGAATAAAATGCACGTTCAGGACTCCACTACAAGTAAAACATTTCTCAGTATAATTGATCCTAATAGAAATTAAGGAACATTTATTAGCTGCATTTTTAAAATATTTATTAGTTCATTTAAAGTATCATCACTTTCACAGACTTGTAACAACGTTTTATAGCTTTCATCTGCTAATAAAAAGCTTTTCGCATAGTACATTACGCTATCTTTTTAAAATATTTAACTTATCATTTATTTTACAACTGAATTTACAATTCCAGTACTAAATTTTCACACTAAAAACAACATCTTAAAAATTGGATTCGGTGTTTTAACACTTTCAACTAATGTGGAAAACAGACGGCTAGAATTCTTTCTTTATAATTAGATATTTTAAACTGAACTGAATAAGAAGTGATTATATGTTAGTTAGATTAACATTCAGGTAGTGCAACTATATCCATAATTTTTCCTGAAGTAGATTTTGTACTCTGTATATTCTAGACGTAAAACTAGTCAGCCATAAATGTTTTTTAAGTGTAGAATAATTCAAAAGTTGCTTCTTTTCACTCAAGAAAGTCAGGCGAGTTTTAACGCAAGACAAATTGTACAGGCACGTCTATTTGTTCAAACGTACCACTTTCTTAGTGAGTGCAGACTGTGTCATCAAAATATTAATCGTATCAACAAATGTTTGCAAAGCGAATAAAAATGGTTTCATTTACTTGAAAAAAATTAATAGGTATTACCTTCAATTTAGCGCAGATCTCACAAACATGTGATGTAGGAACGTCTCCTTCTTGTAGAATTCGGAAGCAAACAGCATGCTGCCATTTATCACATCCATCACATAAAATCATCACGCCATCGTCCTAAAAAAAATCAAAACCTTTTTCGTTTATAGAAATTTCGTTTTAAAGTATTATAACAGGACAAGATATAACCAAATAAGTTGTATACATGTGTCTTAACCACATACTTAGAAAAATTGTGGTTATTAACGTCCAATATTCTTTTAGTAAATTAACCAGTTGATCAAACTTCACTATAATTAAACACTAAAATTTCTCCTAATGTAATTATAATAATGTTTTAATCCTAACCATTTTTTATGAACCCTTTACAATAAAATTTGCTTAAGTGTAAAATCACTTACTGTTTTACGATAAAACGTATAACTATACATTTCTATTTATTTCCGTCAATCAGGGAACTTCCATAATCAGTTACATTTCTATCTTATACAAATCGAATATTCTAATCAACTTTTGTAGTGGTAAAAACATTCTGTCAGTTACAATACCATGTATCGGTTGGGATAATTACTAATCTTGAGAAATACCAAATCACAAAAAATTGAAAAGCGACTTCACTTCATGAAAAAAATCTGATTCAATTGATCACTCTTTGGGTTATCGAACTAAATGAAATTTAATTCAGTATGAATTACAATATGTACTTATCTTGTCAAAACCAAAATAATCTAAATCTATTTGTTTTTTCTGGTGAAACAAATCAAAAACAAAATGGTAATACCAAGCATAAAAGTTGTAATACAGTGCACATGAACAGAGAAATTCTCAATTCATAAAAAACAATGTTTTAGATTAAATAGGCTTTAGTTTCAAAAAACCTAAATAGATTTTTAAAAATATCGTATTGATATATATTTTATTTACTAGCCTATACGCAAAATCTAAGTGAAACCAATCCTGCTTGAAAAGTAGAGGTAACAAAAATAATGACTATTTTGGGACTCAAGTGTCTTCTCAAATTTCGCTTTTTTAATTTTCTTCAAAATGTGATAATCTTATAAACTTTATATGATAAAAAAGAAAGATTCAATGAGTAACATGACTTGAGAAATTTCATAATAAAATGAAGTTAAATAGATGCCTTTTAAGCCAAGCAGAAGTTCGTACTACTTAAAAGGGAAAAAGGATTCATTGAAATTAAATATAGTCATAATTTAAACGTGATCGTTTCTGATTTTTCTCTTAAATAACCAATAAAAATCCCTAGAACTTTTGCATTGGTTGCTGTTGTAAATAAAAGCACTGTAGAAAGTTTTTAATTTGATAGTTTAGCGGTGTGAATAAATTTCATTCAATTTTTGTGCATTTCAAGGTTTGTAACAGTTGTTATATTAAGTGGAATAACTCTCACTATTTTCGTTTTCAGTTAATATTTGTATAAAATTAAATCCATAAACCTGTGTATTTTAAGTGGATTGGCAAAATGTTTCAGCACGCACTTCGAAATGTCACAACACAATGCAGTCAGTTAGTGTTACGAACGGTAACTTATTCTGAATAACTTGATTAAAAAAACATTATTGGTAATAGGTTACTTACATTTTTATTTTTATGCTAAACTGATCAGCTTTTTTAACTAGAAAACTGTATACGATACAACCCAAGATATAAAATTTCAAATAAGTCTTGATCAGTATTATTTATCAATTATACATTTAGTGACACGGTCTAAATTTATTTACAAATCAAGTAGTGGTTACCTCAGTAATACGAAAAAAAGTCGGACATCAAAGATTATTTCAAATAATTGAAGTTTATCACTTCATAAGAGATAGCGAAGTAATATTTCAATCTTTTTTACTCAAAGAAAACTAATTTTGGTCAGAGAAAATACACCTAGCTATTACGCGTAACCAGTTAGAGTGACGACTATACTTTTAAGTATATGTAGATCATTTGGGATTTTCTGTATGACACTTAGACTACTGAAACAAAGTATACGAGGGAAGCAATGTGACTTAAATTCTAATAAAGCAAAGTTAGTGACTACACACTTCGAAGTGACCAGAAATATTACTATTGACAAACTAGCAATACAAATGTATGCACTTAAAAGAATATGATCCCCCTAGATATTCGTCAAGTCAGTCATATACAACTTAAAACTTGAAACAAATATAAGTTCTCCCGAATTCCTACAATTTCTACCAATATAGGAGTGAACTAACAAGATACAAATCGGATAGGTCGGAGTATTAAGGTTAGTAGTGGAAAAAAAGCAAAAACATTTGGTTTGAAAATGGTGAGTAAAATCGAGAGATGAGAAATATAAAGTTCTATCACAACCCAATACTTAGCGGAAAAGGGAGATTGAATTCAATTGAACCCCTACAAATAAATTCTAGTCGTGTCGTTTAAGCTGTTTAATCATAGAATCCAGTGGTCTCTCAGACTCCAATCGGAAATAAGTGCTAACTTTTTTTAACCTTCCGTTTGAGGTCGTTATAAGATGTTAATGTTACTCTTATGGTTCGATGAATATGATAGGCTGGCACGTGATGGACACATTTTAATATTGCTCTGTGTCAATCTCATTCTTTCATAAATATATAACTGACACATTGATCTTCTAACTGATCTCTCTAGGGATTTCCTGTTACAACTTTTCTGTGTCCTGTGATTCACAGACAATGCACAATCGCTCAAAAGCGTCATCAGAGTCCAGATATGTACTCCAGATATAATGACACCTATTTATCGAATATCTTCATGGATGAAAGACAAGGGTGTGGTCTGAATGTATTTTAGTCGATTTTATCGGTCACTAGGTCAGATAATCTCTCACTTCATAATCGAGGCTGATCCCCTTTAACTGAGAACAAGTTTCTGAAGATACTTGCAACAGATGACGTCGACCTTTTCAAAAAAGAGGCCGAAAGCCATGCTTTGACTTAACCTGTTTATTTGCGCGTTAAGGCCATCCGCTGCACTTAATAGATGAGAGAGCCTAGCTGTCTGAAGGATATCCGAAAGTCGTAGGTGGGGTTGTTCATTTACTTTATCCAAATTCCAATCAGTGAAACAATGAAACATAAACGATGTTTTCTCCTTTACTTCTGAAGTCTCATTGATTACTTTACGAAGAGGGAAAAAGCGATCATTGGCTAGAATCCACTTAAGAAAAACCTATACTGCTTTTGAACTTAGTGATATACATACACCAGTAAATTAATAAACATAGCAGAAAACTATTCATAAACTCGATGGTCGAACCACACTGGTATCCCACATCATGTGGATGAAGTCGTGTCAATAAGCAGGCTTTGAGCTTAGTGCAAGATTATAAGACATAGATTCTCATAGACAAGGGATAATGAAATCGTAGCTGGTGAACGCTTTTGTTCGATCAGACATTAAAAGTTTCGAAATGCGGTTTGAGACGTAGTGTTAGAAGGAGTAACAATACTTTTTGGACTTGAGTAGATCACAGTAGGGACTAATGCGAAGAAAAATCAAACCAGGTGAGGAGGGTTAACAACATAAATACTAAAGGTATCATGAAATGATCAAATGAGTTTCATAGGGACAAATGTTTTTTGAAACGAGGTAAATTAACACTTCTCGGTTGTAAAAGCTATAATTAGATTTGAAATGGTAAATATTTTGTGATTCATAAAAACAAAATTATATCTAAGTAATTACGTACTGAATTCCAGGATTTATAAAAAAACATTAACGTTGCTCGATAACTATCTTCACGTTGAAATTTCATCGATGTGGATAAAACGTTTTTGGTGTGTTACTTCAGCCAGAAGTTTATCGTAATTTTTGACTTTTAGATTTCATTATTGTTCACTTACCTTATTTACACCACATGGGCAGCGAGCTTCATAACTTTCTAATTCATTTTCATCAGATCTTAGTGTCTGTTGTTGAAATGATAAAGTGAGATCATCGTTTTCATTCACTTTACTCGCATTCAGCGAACCTAACTGTAAAGACAATGGAAATATAGACTAAGATACAGTCTATTTGTACAGTGTATTTTTCCTTAAAAGCTGGTCGATCGTCTTATGTAATATTTGGGGCTTTCTCGCATTTTATAAAAAACATCCATCCCATTGTTTATTCTTTGAATAACTTAGCAACGTTTAACTTAGTTGTTGTTAGAAACTTCTTTGCAAATGTTTACTAACTTATATCGTTAGTTTAGTGCTACCAGACCAATTCAAAAATAAGATTCTTTTGATATCCTTCCCTGGTCACTTTTAGACTAATGAAATCCATTTAAACTTTTTTATTACTTTAAAATGACAACTATTCTAACCAGTATGAGGTAAAACCAACAAATTCCCCGCATTTAGCTGAACAATAGGAGAACTAAGGCCCAGTTTGTACAGTTTACCTGTAAATGGACATGAATCAGAAGTAGCATTAGAATCAAACTTCAATGATTTGAGTTCTTGCAAATTACATTATCTGTACGATATACACTAGTTTACCAATTTTCAAATTATATATGGAGATAGGCATGACAAACTTATTTTGTAAATAGTTCTTGATGTTGTTTGTATTTATTCTGTTAGTTTTTACAGTTTTTATATTTACCACAAAATGACTGTACATGTTGTTTAAGTGTATGATCCTGAACACACTTTCTTACATTGTTACACGCATAGCATGACACACGCTGTTAACTGCTAGCAAATACAATACTATATACACACCTCTCGTTCTCTATTGCTCGTGGTTGTGATAATTGAACTCTCAGTCATCTACTTTCTACGTTTATAGACTGCAACCACATTTATATTATATTCTACGTTTGGCCATATCACTGGAAGCACAACAATCTTATTAGAATCATTAATCATCTATAATTGTGGATTTCGGTACCAAATGCAATCTGAGCACGCACAAGCCAGCTGATTTAATTAACGCCCATAAATTTTTATTGTTTTTATAACGTATAACTGATATTTTTTATAATACTACTGTTTGTACGTAATAACTTTATTACTATTTTTAAGCCCATATATTGTTTGGTCCACCACGGATATATAAGTCGAAACAATTTATAACTATTTTTTCAGGTAATTAGTTTAAAGTTTGGACACACCGTTGTGCTGCTAGTTTGTTTGTAGTTGTTTTTCCACAAACTATCATAATTTTTATTGACCTCTTTCAAAGTCTTCATTTTGAACCGATGAATTTCATCAAATTGCATTCCTATTTCAATAACTTCTATCTAATCATTCAAAGGATCCAATTTATTGTCATACGGTTTAAAAGTGAACAGTTCATTTGGACGTTTAAAACGTACAAATCATTTGAAATAGAATAAGTTTGTGTACGAATAACTGTTTAAGTTTACTGTGCCATGTTATCGCTCTATTATCTATTTATATTAATTATGATGTCATCTGACAACTGCGCAGTAAACTTTGTAGTTCATCAGATTTTCTGATTTTATTTAATCAAATAAATTGACTACAGTTTACACACATAAGCAGTTGCGATTCAAATACTGAATTGTACTGTCAAATTCCTAAATTATTTTAATAAATAAATGCCGACAAAATACTCCTAATAGTTTGTTTACAATCAAGCTTCAAAATCTTAACTAAACTTGGACGTCTCTAACAAAAAGAAACCTTAATTTTACTATTAATAAAACAAAGTCCCCTTGAACTGTTTAATTCATAATACGAATACTGAGTAAAATGATAAAACTAACCGAAAGTTCATGGATGCTCTCATCTTCTTGTGTTGATTTAGTAGATTTTACAGATCCGGCCAATAATCGTCGACTAGTCTGTATATGCATTTTGATGCTACGGCAACTTCTCTTTATGAAATAACACATACCTGTGGTGAGCCTGGCAACATAATGTTAGTTCATTAAAATATGTTAACATACAGTTTTCACATTACCGAGCCGTATATTAATGTTATCTTCTTCAAAGTTGAAAGTGACATTATCTGCATGCTTGAATCCAGGAGGAACGTAGCTCTCTGGTGTAACTAAAGTTAAAGCATAGATTGCATGTTTACTGATAATTAATTTTGTGGTTCAATTATTTACTTTGCTTATTGTTTATTTATTTATTATTTTATTAACAACTAAACATGTCTTTTAGAACTAGCAATTTAAACTTCCTAAAATCTATCACTCAACCACGTAAGCTTAGATCATAAATTCATCTCATAAATGCTTACCGCTTTCACATAATGAAAATCCGACTCTATTTTTGAGCGTTTTACATAACTATTTGGAGTTCTTTTATTTTATTTTTCATTGACTGCTTGTAGCTAGGTGAATAGCTCAAAAAGATCTTTCGTACAAAAATGACGGTTTATTTTGTTTAAAATTGAAGTTAATTTTAGCAACTCGCCACTCGTCTTTTCATTCAATTAAGATTTTAGGCCTAATTTTATTACTCCAACTTATAATTAGTTGTTTAAAAATTGCTTACATATTTATCAGTTACTGGTTATGTCGTAACAACTTTACAAACAATGGCTTAAGGTCACTTGGTGCTTTACTGTGACAAACGGCAACACACAAACATGCTACATCCAGTTGATTTGCTTGCAAAAGAAAACTAAACAAAGATATTAGTTGCTTTACGATGAATTTTAATCATAAACGTTAACAGAGAAATGTTCCAGCTGAATTAATTAAATGGTTTTAGATAAGTATATAACCACTAGAGGATGACTGTAATAGAATCAAAAATAATCTGAAACAAGCATATACCCCGCTTTCAGTTTCATTTTTAAAAAATTTGTGCTCGACCTAATTAGGATAGGGTTAATTTCCTATGCTATTTTATTTATGAAGACGTATCTTTATGAGCTAAAGACTTATCTCATCTCATCGACCGTACCTGAAGAAATACTAATGGCCTTTTGGGATATAACAACTAGATTCATCAACAAGTACAGCAAAGCTCGCCAACGAAGCCCATACAAACTAAAAAGCAAATAGTGAGGTAGTAGAATCTAGAAAGAAATCTTTGTTGATTGAAATTCCATCTCCATATAAAGATTGGTCATAACATTTGCAAGCTTGAGTCTTTCGCTGGGACTGTTATCTCATTTCGAATAGGAAAATACAAATGGAGGCGCACAGCTTGGTATATAAGTTATCAAATAACTTACTGCCTCATATTTCGGTCTATTATTTCGGGATTTATGAAATGCACGTGATGAAATTTTGTGATTGACACTGAATACTTAAATATAACGTCTTCAAAATGTTTTATTCTAGTCCGTTTTTATAAAAAAACCTGAACACAGCTTTTAAATGTCCAGCCTCCTTATTCCATCAAATTCATCTTGACCAACAAAAGGCTATATTTTTAATATTTGACATGCAAAATACTACCAGTTTTTGTACTAATGGTATAAAAACCATCTCCTTTTAAAAAATCACTCATGTAATTGTTATTACCGACATCACATGCACTCACAACATGGATCTTTTTTAAACTAATCAGTACACAACTTTTAAACACATTGTTTTGGAATAAATAGAAAACAGTGGGCTGAATGAGAAATATACTCATGAAAATAACCATTTAAATATTAGACATTTTACCCATATTGCTAAACATAAATGTGAAAAAAAACCAACAAATTCTTAGAGCACATTAACGAAGTGATTAAGCCTCGTGCTACCAACCCAGTTTTGAACCAATCTGACATAGCATATGCTGTTATGCCGTGACTACAAAATTTATTTGATTCACATGCAACCGCCTTTGAAACTGTACATCACGGATATAAAAATAACAAACGCTTTTGCATTTTGCAGGCGTGTAGCATGATATTACGACCATAATGTGACGGAAGCGGTAAGAAGCTTTTTTAAAAAGTGGCGAGTAGTATGACATTATATTCAAAAGTCTTTCCTCAGATTTTTGATGAAATATTCAGTGCTATAATTAAAAACAAACCAAGATCGACTCCTTCTAAAACATTTTTTCTGACCTTTGCTTTTACACTGACTTCAGCAGATTAGCGCGAGTATATTTGTTTGCAAACTATTACGTTTCCAGTGATGTGGTGGCAACAACTACTGTTATCCCGTTTCTAGCAAACTGTGAATTAACAATATCTGATGAAAATATTTTCACATCTATTTAATATTTGTTCCTCAAACTAGGAAATTCAAAACACAAATCACGAAGGCTCAATTATCTTGTCATCTTTTAAATCATGAATTTCAATCAGTGTATTTTTTTGGAAAAAATAAATATAGACCTTGAGTATTTTTAATGTACTTAACGTTGAAAGTTTCAGTGGAAATTCTGGTCTAGAATACGCCATTTCATGACTGAACTGGGTTCATCTGCATCTGTGAAGTCAAAGACGGTATTCTCACATCATTGTTAATCTTAAACCTTCAGATTACTGAGTTTCAAGATCCACTCAATATTTTGAAATGAGGAAATCTTGTAAGTAAACAAAAATAAAAGATGTCAGCAATATATTTAAAATATCGACCTTGGTAGTCGACGAAATTTTCTAAAAAAAACCCAGTTACCTTCGTCGTAATACTGCAGTTTCATCGTTATCATTAGTTCCGATGGTAATTTGGATAATCTTTCTCCAGCAGTTCGAATATTTTTGAGTAGATTCAAAGTAGCATTCCGTACTTCGATTTCAGAGCAGTTTGAGATCTCGCATATAGTACTGGGTTCTCTTTTGTTTTCAGTTTTTAAATCAAGTGATAGCTTCTCCTGGCCATAAGAAAGTCTGAAACAATAGGACTCAATGATGTTATATTCACAAATTTTGCTGGGATGTAAATCTTTGTCCGACAAATAAAGCGCAATGGTCGCTGATTTGAGCTAGACAAACTTTTATTGTAATGCTTAATAGACCTACAAAATGACGGTCGATGGCATCAAAACAACCCTTAAGCCAATAAACTATTTTTGAAGAAGCAGGTAAGATAGAGCTTTCCTTCAAAATCTTTAGCTCGATTCCTGAAATTGAGTAATTTGATGCTGTTTTATACCTTCTAGTTGTTTGTCATGAAAAGCGGATTCAGGAAAAATATCCCTGAAATACAAAACATAAGATACTGCAACCGCAAACAGCTTTTTTATAAAAACCAGGGACTGGAGTTCGACTCCTAGCTCATTAGGAAACATTTTTGACCACTATCAAAGAGAATATAAGGAAGCCGAAGTTTACATTTCCAACATTCTGTTTAACTGCTATAGCTGTCGCCATTGTAGTACCAGCGATAAAACGTTATCTCTTACGAAAACGCAGCACCGGAAATTTTTAAAACAAACCTTCATACACCATTCATAACAATAGTAATTCAGCTAAAAATGAGTTAACTGCTTTGAAAACAGCCTCTTCTGGATTTTAGTTTCTTCATAATAGTTTAGATTTGTGGTAACGTCTTACCTTCAGCCACACGACGTACAAAAGGAAAACCCTGAGCCATCTTTTACATGTGGTGGTTTTTACTCGTTTAGTAGAGAGTCTCTGAATCTAAAACTAAGCGGAAGATAAGAAGCAAATAGACTGGCAGTAAATTCACTAATTCATAAATGAAATCCTAATATATGATCTCTCAGTGTTCTGCCATTTGATTATGGAATAGGTCTGCAAAACTTGTTATTCCTTAAGGCATTTAGGAAGCTCACCGTTGTTCGAATTCATTATTCAGGCTTGAAATGGTATTTTTTGGTTTCAAGTTTTCGTCGAATCTTGTTTTATTTCCCAAAGTTTAACAAGATTAACAACTCTTGCTAGTTTACTTCTTATCAGCTCTAAACACTCATCTAACTCATAACTAAAGTTGTTTCATATTTTGACATAAATTTGTTTGTTTCTTCCTAAATTCTTGTTATTTTGTTGGCCGCTTCACCAGGAAATGCAATGTGAGTTCACTTTGTGGCTTTAGTATTTAGACCACAACTAATAAAAATCTCAGGGTACTGTTCAGTTCTTGATTTTTTGAAATTCGTCGTAAGAATAAAGCCAGGTAAACCTGGCCGAACATCCGTATACACGTCTTGTGTAAATTGAGTCACTGCTCTGAGTTTTCTCTTGTTTTCGTTGGTTGTAGTTTATGTTTTATACTAAAAGATGTGGTAGTATGATTATATCAATCTTTTTAAAGAAATGTCTGTCGCTATTTATGACTTCCTGTAGCCTATGTGACAGAGAACCTCGTAGTAGCTGCAACACATCGGTGGAAGTGGTACTGAAAAATGTATGCTTGCAAAAATTGCTACAAAACGTATTGCGTATTCTTAGCTTTCCCACAAACTCTGTAACATGATTGATATATCAGAGAAGTAATGGCCAAAATATGGTTAACACTTGCAAAAAATACTTTCGGTAGGCTGAGCTCTCTTTAAATTTAGTCGTCAGGAGTAAATTCGTGATCGTCAGTCCCAAACTTCTTAACACATCGACTGAAACCATCATGATGGTAATTAATATGAATCTCCCAGGTAGAACTACTTATCACAGGGACTGTGCTATTTTCCAGAATAACGGATCCACTGAGATCTAGAAAGTCAGTCTAAAATATCGTTGAAATTGGCAGCTTACAATTAACGTAGGTTTGCTTACCTACCTGCACAGTTTAATGTGTCTATATTGCAAAGTGCGACTGAAGAACTAGTCATAAGTCAATAATCATTACACAAAACAGATCTACGCGTGCTAGATCTTGGATTGAATTGTGTGGTGACTAGTAAGTTTTCAAAAGAACTAGATTTATAAACATTCGATGTTGATACTGATCATGTTATTTTAGTGGACCTTACCATTAATTAAAGTCTTTTGGTCAAGCTTTTTTATTAGATTACGTCTAGATACGTCATGGGGCGCGTCTCCTCCGATAACTTTCCAGAATTACAGGCACATATTTCGTTACTCCTGCCTACCGCCAACCATCCTATCACATTTTAATTGGTCATGGGATCATTTTGTTTAAATAAATTCGAAAAATAACACTACATAACTCTTCTTCATTCATAAGTTACATGAGGTATGCTGTGTCACAGAACATCCTGTGAATCCGTTACATGTTCTTAATCCTTATCTATTACATTTGTGACATAATTTTACTTTGTCGAACTTTTTTTATAAGTTTATACATTTATAATCTCATAACGTCTAGCCACATTCTTAAGTTATTGTGAAATATTACTGGTCCGTTCCCCACTTTTCAACGTGTCATTGTAGCTCAGTAATGTCAAGGCCTGGTCTTGTTACACAAAGACTAAATTCCACAAGCACTTCGTAACTGGCAACTACTTATGGTTATATAGAGTAATGGTCTATTTCGTTACTAGTACTACTCGAATAATAGGCCTAATCCTAAAATTGTAACTGCCTAATCCATGAGATCTTACATAGAAGTCACATTATTGTCTATACTGACTCATCCTATCGTAACAATAAGCAATATATGATGAAGAACACATTTAGGCTGGAGATAGAAAAATATATTCAATACGAATTAAAGTTACAAAAGAATGATCACACCTGCATGGTTGTGCCATGCCATCTAATGAACTTGACTATAATTAAACTCAACTCGATTTCGTAATCGTGGAAGTCTGCTTAGAGGCCAAGCAGAATGAAGCGGGAATTATTATATCCGCCATCTTTGCAAGTAGTGGCGGTCGGCTTTCTCCGTTCTGTGTTTTTTCTGCAGTTTCTTTTGTGTAGCTGCATAATTTAGTGTTTCATTGTGCTGAACTTACGCGGTTAATGTAATAGCCCAGGTGTTGTTGCAAATTTTCATTGAATCATCTTTGTTTTCTCGGTTTTCGCTTAAATAAGTGTTGCTGACACCTGGAACACTAACTGTTCGAATGTTCGTTCCTCACTGTCATTTATAATTTTATCAGGAGCAATGAACGAAAATGATCTCCGGTTTGTTATTTTCCTCAGTATTATGGACAACCTTGTTCTATCAACGAGTCAAACTAATACTGAATGCACGGCAGTAGGGGATATCAGTAATGTTTTCGAAAGGACTTAGGCACCTGACAACCACAGACGAAGTCAGAGATGCTATCAATTACGGCTCCTTTTGGTTTAGTGGGATGTCACGAACTTGTGGTATTGATGCTGAATTATCATGCAAAATACCTCTTTAAATCGTGTTACGAATGTTGAATTGGTTTCACTTCCTACCCAGAAATCCTATTACAAGCAAATCAGACAATTCGCTAATATACGAAGCATACTCAAGACCCTATAATACCTGAAAGAAAAAATAATACAAATAAACCAAAGGGGCTCTAATAGCTTTGATAATAAAAAGAAGATAGCCAATTGTATATCACAATACTGTTTCTAGCACTATTTCCTTTCCGAATTGCCCACATTTATCAGTTATATGTCCACTCACACCTTGTCAACACTTATTTTCTTTTACCTATTAAAATGCTCTTTCTTAACAAATACCTTAATAAAAGAAAATTAGACTGAGTAATCATACCTTAAACATTCCTTCATGAATATTGGCTACTCTCCATCTCGTCCTTTCTTTTACTTGCTCCTTCTTTCAGCCCCCTTGTGATACGGAACGAAAGATTTCATCCTGCACCATCCTCAAAGCCTTAGACATTCCAAAGGGACATAAAGTTGCGACATTTAGAAGCTCCAACCTTCAATGGGCCTATCCTTGACCATCAGTCGCACATTTGAAACGCAACTTTCTTCAAGCGCGCCAACTGATATACTGACTACCATCTACATTGATACCATATAAATTATCAACGCAGCTGAGTAATTTACTACAGTGGGCATTGTATCATTTGTATCAATTTGATCTTGCCTTTGAACTAGCATGCCTCATGTAACAAACTATTATTTGAGAATAAATAATTATTATTAATCCCATGCATCTACGTCTGGTTTAACATGAAGACATACAAGCAGAGTTAGTGTCTGATAAACTCAAAGTTCCAGGTGTCAAAATATTCTTAGCAATTGTCCACAGCCAGCTTTATTTAATTGAGACATAGAATACTCTTCTTCTAAGACTGTATACTGCTTTTTGCAGGCAACTAAAAGCTCAGACGTTTAGCTGTTCTGCTACTGATGTTATTGCTGGAGAAATTGTTTCATGACAGTGATCTTGAAACATGTTCAGTGCTTGATGCACAGTCTAGAAATAAACACTAAACATACTTATAGCTATCTTATAATGTATGACAACAACAGCATCAAAGTTACTTTTTTTCCTATTTTTAATCAGACTGATTTGAATCATTATACTCATGAAATACACGCAGATCTACTAACTAAACTAACCTGTTTTGTTACAGGATCAAGCATTATGCTTAAGTATACTTAATTCTATCGACTAAACAGAATTTTAGGACGTCTTAGTTGTGCAGTCAAGAATACTAAACTAAGCAAATATCATAATTATTGTTTCATTTGCACAGACATGTTACTCAAAGTAGTTGAATGTACATAATTCAGCCGATAAACCCAAAACACGAACGATAAGCAAATTAAACTTACCTAACAGAAGACAAAAGATATTGCTTTGAGACTAAAGACAACAGTCAATTGTTCATTAAAACCTAGTTAACAGCACAACAAACCTTTCTTAAGTAACATTATACACTGACGGTCTATTTTGAAGCAATCAACTACATGATTAAACTTACAATGACGTACAGTGTAACGCAGTCGAACGTGGCGAATAAAAATTACAACCAGAGCAAAATCCACGGCATAATCTGCTTATTTAATAAAGAATACATTATAAAATGACAAATTCTATGATAATATAAACGCAAACATGACTGTTATGACACTGGGCAATACATCGGGCTTACATGAAAACGTTGCGGATAAATCCACCCTGAATTCGGCATGGGAAAAACGGTAGACTCCTTCAAATCTGCTCGCCGTTTCGTTTCAGTGACCTTGAACGACCTGAATAGAAGCGATTATTCCGTATTTGAAATTCCGTGGGTGTGTTGGGTCGTATGATTATTAAGTTCTTCCATATTTAAGTCATCCTTTGCTGCATGAAAAAGCACAACGTATTTGCCAAGAGCATTAATTTAGCATTCTGTGTTTTGTAGTGTACGCGTTAGCTCTGTTGTTGCTTCGTGACTTGATCTGTGATCCCAACTGCTGTAGTAAACGTCAACACCTCTATATAATTTGTTGATTAGGTCCAGAAAACAACATAAAAAAGATAAGATAACCTTAAAAGTTATAGATACGCTAAGTTTTTGTGAATCGCTGTTAAACAAAAAGTCGAGATTACTCAACGGTAAGTCCTAAATATTTGTTGTACTTCTTTCATTTAGTTTTTTCAGGGAATAACCTTTTTTAGT